CACCCCTCTCTGCCTCCGCCAGGGACCTTACTCGCCTCTCCACCTCCCCGGTGGTCGCGGCACCGGTAGGTCTACTTCCTCCCCTCCCCCCGCCTCGGTCATAGTTATATTGCAAGACCTATTACCCCCCTCCGTGCTCGTTGACGGTAGAAGCCATACACCCTTACCTCTCTCCCCAGAAGGCCGCCCTGGATCCGCCCCTGGCTCTAGGTTTCTGAGGTATTTAATTGCGCAGTGGCCGTTAATTTAGCAAGTAACTTACGCTACGTAACGCTGGAATGTAACTAAACATGATCAATGAGACACAGTAAGGAAGACAAGAAAAATGGTACGTTCTTCTTTTGTTCCCCGAGGAATGTGTGCTATTCCACCAACGGGATCGAACACTTTTGGTCCGATGAAGATATCAAGTGAATCGGTGGACTGCTTCACGTTGCTCTTATTTGCAAATGGCATCGTCGCATCGTCACCACCACCTTCTTCGTCATCTACTGGATAGGTTGGTTCTGTTTCGTTTTTCCAGAATAGCATAAAGGGTGTTGAGGTCGTCCGCGCTGTTGCTGTAGAACGACTTATTGCCTTTCTGCTACCTTAAATGTAGAGTAGTGCAGCAAACTGATTGTTAAATGCGGTAGGTGCGACCGATAGGGTTTTTAACTCTGTTCACGGGTACACGTGACGGAAACTTTGCAGAATGGCTCACAAAAATCTGTTGCTATTGCAATGCAAAAGTGATGCCAGTCCTTCAACATGTGGCCTCGGACTGGAGTTTGCGGCGTGTGTATAGTTACTGGCCTAATAAGACATAGCTGACAACTTTGTCCTCGACACTTTGGTTGCAGCATACAGAAAACAGAAATTTCCAGCTATGAAAGCATGAAGCATTTCAGAATCAGTAGCAATGCACTGTCAGCGGTAGGCAGTCTTGCTGAACTGTTTTCTCATGTTTTATCCCCAGACAGCTAGTTTTCAGTGGAAGGCATATGGAAATATCCGAAGCTAAGGGTGGGAGCGCTCTTATAGTTCTTGTTTTTCATAAGCATTTTTACGTTTGGCAACATTTTACCTCGGAGAAGTGTGTCTTGCCTGAGTTGCTTTGTTTTCCACCTTTCGTGATTCGTCGACTCCAGAACTACAAGAACCTGGAGGGTAAAAAATTGTCCGGATTCGAAAACAACGACCTAGCTATGCTCAAAGCTGAATATGAGGATCTGTTTTCTAACTCTTCTGCGAACTATCTGTGGAATATGACACATACCAAACTCGAAAACGCATTATATCCTGCATTATACGCACAAGTATGATGCGTCTTGAAAGTATGTACCCAGAACAAACTATCGTAAAAAAATATGGCCGTGTCAGCTCCTCATGAATTTCCGCTGCATATCTTTCGGAGTTGCTACTTTATTGCTGTTCATGCCAAATACTGCGTCAAAAATTGGCAGTGCTTCTGGGAAAAAGGGAGCATCCTATATTTGAGTACTATAACCCGAAGCTGTCTTCATCTATCCGAAGCACAATTTCTGTTATTTTTGCACTCCATTTCCGATGATTTATTTTTCTGTTTCTGTAATTTATTTTTCTGTTTCTGTAAAAAGCTAAAGCCTTCGCGGAATGCTTCTACCAAGAGAACAATTACGTGGTAATCTCCTCAAAAGACAATATAAACATTTGGATTGCCAGCAGGCTGGCCACTAGGCAATGCAGCATGGTCGAAGAAACTGGAAAAGCTGTTAGCAACACAGCTGGAAAGGAATGGTATAAATTGCAGCTGGTCAGAGTGTATTTTTATGTTTTTGCATATATGCAAGTGCAAAAACGCTTACTGTGACGACCCCGGTGTGTGTATTTGTGCATTTGCCTGTACGGGTATTTCAACTCGGCACCCAAGCTAGCTCCGGCGCCAAAATTTTGCAAGTGGGTTCCACAGCTAGGTGCTATCGCAGGACCGCGGCACCAACCCTCACTAAATCTGAGCCCAGCACGCGAGAGGATGAAAGTTTTGGCGGGAAGATCGCCAACTCGAGAAACAGAAAAGCCAGAAAGCTGAAATTTTGCGGTTATATTCCACGCCCACACAGAACGCAAATGAAAATTTCCAGGGAATTTTGCCACCACATGTACAAATTAAAGTTATCAAATTCAGCCCCCAGGCATGCCTGTTTTTCCCGTACGGCTCCGTGAAAATTTTTGGCGAGAAAATTGCTAATTCGAGGGTCAGAAAAGACAGACTGCTGAAATTTTGAGGGGATGTTCCCTGACCAAGTACCATGTAGTTGCACAATTAATCTCGTGAATCTGAAGGGCCAATATGCCGTAAATCCTAGCTACTGGAACTCCAAGCAATCTTACAACATATTGCAATGACGCATGATTGCATGGGCCCGCCCGGTGCGCATCGCCAATGATTTCTTATTAGTACCAGAGCCATTATGAAGAGTTTCGATGCTGATAATTTTTCATGTCGCAAAAATTAGCATTTTTTGAGTTGACTTTGACGCTAAATTTCGCATCTTTTGAAACAAATTCTGCACCATTTGTTGAGAAAACTCATGTTTTTGTATTAACGTTTGGTACCCGGTTAGTACATACTAGATTCTTCCCTATCAGTAACCTACGAACCTCAAGAGTAGCATACCAAAGATTATGATGAACAGGAACAGCAGGATTTTTTTGCTACCACACAATACCATTCTTGTAATGGAGTTGACCTTGCTCTGGTATAAAGTTACTAACAAAGCGCGGATGTTATCCAAGGGTAACTTTTATAAGTAATTTGAAATTTGCATAACATCGTTAATTATGCGTTTTTGCATATATGTAAATTGCAAAAACGCATATTGGGAAGAGGCTGTCTGTGTG